TTTACATACCAAAAATGGTACGGTTTGTACTTGTAGGGTCCAGAATTCCTTGGTCTATACTCCTCATACTGGTCTCCTGTATTGCATCACTGGTTTGTTGGATGACTTGAATGGAAACTCACTTCTGAGACCTAGGGGCAGGAGAGCTCGTACCTACAAGACGCACTATGAAGAGAAGTACGTATATTCTTGTATCATATACCCCTATAATTTGCATGTGTCATCTTTGAATTTTAGTGATCATGTGTATCCAAAGAAAAGAACGTCATGAAATATTCAGTGTAGTTTCTGTTTATGGTTTTCTGAAATGTTGTTGTTTGTGCCATTGAGGCAGTATATGCTACATGGAGTGTGTTTTATGTTATATTCAAGCCATTTATGAGTTTAATGGTTCTCTTGTTTCAGGCGTGGGATCAATTTGCGTGTTGATCAACAGTTATTGCTCAAGGGGAGACACATTTTCAAGTTACAAAATTATCTTCTGAGTTGCAGGCAACAGAGAAAAAAAGGTCTGATTTTGTAACTTTTTTTAGATAAGGAAGCCTAGTTACATTTAATTGTTCGGTATGTTTTCTGCTCACCTTTGCAGTCTTTTCTTTTCACTGAAAATTGTATTCCGTAATTCATAATCCATTTCTTATATATCATAATGTGGAAGATGCTTTGAGTTTTTAAAACAATTTTTGTTGCCCCCTTTGCTATTAGAGGAAAAGGGAATGCATATGCTTGTTATTGCTTTAAAGGTTTCCTGAATTGTGAAAATATGGCCGTTTTATCACTTTGATTTATTAATTGCAATTTAGTGCATTAGGTATGATGAATTTAAATGCTGATTTTGTAAGGTTTAGAACAACTACATTCACTAAAGTTTTCTAGGATATAATTGACAATGCATTTTGATTTGTTAAAAAGCAGAGTCATGCAATCTGCATTGACATTTTAATTATGGAAGCCAAAAATTAATTTATGTGTTAAAATGAGGTAGAAGTGGAAAGAATCAGTGGGGGGATTTCATTCTTTCCATTGGGTCTAGTTCTTGTTTTCTCATATTTCATTATTATTGAGTAAGAAACTTAATCTATGTTTTCTTTGCAGAATCAAAGCCTGTTGAATTGCCGCCTGAACTTTGCTCTATAGTCATGTCACCTTTATCAATCAGCAATTTATATTCATTCTCAATTGTTCCATCCATCATGCATCATCTTGAATCTTTACTTCTTGCTCTGAACTTGAAGAATATGATTTTGGATCGTTGCAAAGAAAATGTTACTATTCCAACCATTAAGGTATGCTACAATTGTTCACAGGACAAGGAACTATGCTACATTTAATGTTTCTACATCAAGACGGCACATTTCTGTGCCCAGGTGCTTGCTGATATTCTATAGTAAATTTTTCTTTTTCTTTTTTTCTTTAAGTTGATGAAAATGAATGTCAGGCTAGCTTGTTTTCCATGAAAACTCTTTGAATTTGCTCAGGATAACCGCCTCCCTCTTTTTTCGTTCAAATTCATCTATGTTTCATGATACAAAAGTGGTTATCCTTGCTGGCTCCATGATCTCCTCGTTGTTATAGTATTTATGGAACGCATGTGATGGAGTTTGAGTAATACATCGATCTTTCAGAGGACAAGGTGTCGTCTGGCCTATAAGACCTTATTAGCAATCTCTATAGAAATTCAAATCAGCCACCAAAAACCTACATTAACATGGCAAAGACAAATTAAAAAGAGTCAACAGCTTTCCAAACAGACAGTATAACAGAAAAGGAATAGTCCCTGTACTCTGGAGATATCTGAGCCATAGGGATGCCCCGAGTCGGACTCTCTCCCACAAACTATCAGGTTTGTGTAGATAACGTATCAGTGAATTTATGTAGTCTTTGTGTCGGCAAGTCATGGTATTTTCAACTCAAATATGGCCCACGGTTCAATTCTTTTTTCCTTGGCACTACATAAGGTATCAATTGCAGTCGTGGTATTGTTGTCAAATTCTATGTGGCACATAACTTCAACTCTTTCCTTTTTTTGGGCACATTGTCCAGATGATTATTTATATCTATACCCTTGGTTTTTTGTGGTTCTGAACTTTACATCTGAGTTTGTTCTATATCCAATATCCGTTGTAGGTCTTGGAAGCTATTACAACAAAAGGATGCCAAGAGAACTTCAATTTGGAATCCTTAGAGACTCTTGGAGATTCATTTCTTAAGTATGCTACAAGTCAGCAGCTTTTTAAAACCTATCAAAATAATGCTGAAGGCCTTCTTAGTGGACAGAGGGAAAAAATAGTTTCTAATCCTGCCCTCTGCAAGCTCGGATGCGACCGCAAACTCCCGGTAACAGTTCTTCATTCTGTTTACCTTTGGTGTTTTAGATCTTGTTATTATCATGGATCTGGCTGAAAGCTGCCTTCAGATTGTTACTGTTATCATTTTATAAATTTGTTCTGTTTACTTTCAGTGTTTTTTATCTAAAGGTTCCTGCATGACCTCTCTACCATTGCTTTGTATTGTAGGGCTTTATTCGTAACGAGTGTTTTGATCCGAAAAAGTGGACTATACCGGGAGATTATTCTGGAACTTCTTTCTTAAGTGAGGACTTGCCTTTTAATGAAAGAAACATCTACATTAGGGGAAGAAGGAAGGTAAAAGATGAAACGGTTGCTGATGTAGTTGAGGCACTAATTGGAGCATTTCTTAGCACAGGTGGTGAAATAGCTGCCATATATTTCATGAATTGGGTTGGTATAAAGGTGGATTTAGTCCATATACCTTATGAGAGGCACTTCCAAGTGCAGCCAGAGAAGCTCATTGATGTCAGACGTTTAGAATCCCTGCTTAACAACTATTCATTTCGCGATCCTTCTCTTCTACTGGAAGCACTAACCCATAGTTCTTGCATGCTTCCTAAGATTCCAGGATGTTATGAGGTACATGCAAATCCAATTACGCAATGACGATTAAATTTGTCACATGCATGTCTAATGTGTAAAATGTTAATTTGTATGGCACATCCTAACTCATAACAATGGTTCTTTGCTTGTGTGGAAATACAAAATTCAGCTCATTTCTCTTCCAAGTTCGTTCAATTATTTCTCTTGATATGCCATCTTTTACATATATAAATTTACTCCCTAAAGAAGCAGTTTAGCTTAAAAAGTCTCTTAGATCCCATGATGCACTAAATTTATTATATGTTATGTACTCATGGGCTGAAATCTTTCAAGCCTATTTGTTTAGCTCATCAGAAGTATGTTCTTTGTTGTGCAGAAGCTCGAATTTCTGGGCGATGCAGTGTTGGATTATGTGATCACGTTTTATTTGTACAATAAGTATCGTGGTATGTCGTCACCTGGATTTCTAACTGATATGAGGTCTGCTTCTGTGAACAATGATTGTTATGCACTATCTGCTGTGAAAGCTGGATTGCACAAACATATTCTTGCTTCGGACAATGTCAACAACGATATTGACAATACTGTTAACAATTTTGGGAGGTTATCTATTGAATCAACTTTTGGATGGGAAACCGAGACATACTTCTCCAAGGTTGGTTTCTAGTACTTATCATGCTCATAGCATTTCTCTGCTACACTTTTTCCTCCTGTTTTTTTTTTTTTGGCTCCTACAATGTTCCTTTTAGGGATTCTAGGACTGCAAACTTAGGGTAGGTAGAGGTAGAGATGGAAGAGGTATTTGGATCAAGAAAAGATTGTATGGTGTGAGTTTAGCTTGGAGTTAGGTACGGTTGCTTTAACTGCTAGTTCCATTGCTTCTCTTACTCAACTAAGCCTCTGCCTCTAAAATATTGGGGTAAGTTACACGAGTCATATTTTTAACTTTTTTTTTTATATGAAAAAAATATTTTGAACTATTTCTCAGCATGAACTCTCCATCTCCAACTCATCTATAGTAACTATATCTTTTCTTTACCATTTCTTTTGGTTCTATCATTGTTACTGCGTTTCTACCTTCACCTTATTGCCTTCATCAACTTGAATTGACTCCATTGGCTTTATGGTTACTTGCAAATCTAAATCATATAATTTAACTTAGTTTATAACAGGTACTTGCAGATATTATTGAGTCTCTAGCAGGAGCAATTTTTGTTGATTCTGAATATGATAAGGATATCGTCTTTCAAAGTATAAGTCCTCTCTTAGAGCCCTTGGTTACTCCAGAAACAATGCCGCTCAATCATGTAAGAGAGTTCAAGGACTATTGCAAAAAAATGCAGTATATTATGAAGAAACCTGTCATCTCCACCCAAAATGGTGTTGTTACCAGGACAATAGAGGTTGAAGCTAAGGGGGTCGTCATATACAAACATACATCAACAGTTTCTAATAACAAAACAGCAGAAAAAGTAGCTTACAAATTTTTTTTGAGGTCGTTGAAGGAAACTAATCTAGAATGAAACAAGTTTGAAGATGTTCCAGCATATTTGTTTATAGTATTTGGATTTATAATGACTCTTGTATAACCATAAGTCTTGTCAGATTCAAAGTTATGTATGTATCTTTGCTGTAGTTATGCAATTGTCATACTATACTGCTATTATGTGATAATATGGAAATATCTAACACAATTTATTTCCTCTTTTCATTTTTTAATTTGCATTTTTTTCAATAAACTCACACCAATAGTCCAAAGAAACTATTATGTAACCCTACTTACATATTGTTATTCTTTATGGAACAACTCATCTATGTCCCTTTGTTCATCAGATCATATTTATTTCCAGATGAAGTTAGTCATAGTGAGTATTGAAACCCCAATTGATTTCGAAATCCATAATTTCGGGATACATACCCATTCCAATCCACTTTTTAAAAAATTTCGGATGTCGGATTTGATTTGGGATTGTCAAAGTTGAAAATTGGCTGGAATCAGAATTTCCTATCCAACTTGCACCCCTACGCTATAACTTATCATGGACACCGTCAAGAGCCAGTTAATCTGGGCAGCATGTTCCTTGCTGTTACCAAACCCGTTTCAAATTTAAGGCTTATAAAAGGTGGAACTCTCTCAAACGCTACTATCACAGAAGTTCAAAGATTTACAACACCACCTGTATAAGGATTTATGAACTTTTATGTAGAATTTTTTACAAAACTGACCTCAAAATTGGCGTTTTGAAACCCCTTCCCCCTACACCTCACCAACAACAATAATACATATGAAGAGAAACACAAATAAACCTCAAGGCAAAGTACAGAGGAAATAAAAAGAATTTTATTACATAATCCACTTTCCAAACTTCATAACTTGATGACTTACATCTGCATACGGTATACTTTCTGCCTTCTAAATGACACAATAAACTACAGCTTACTTGTTCAACTGAGGTTTTATACTATGGACATGCCTGCTCATTATGAAGTTGTGGAGTCATCCAACCAAATAGCTTCTTCTAGTTGTCATTCCTGTAAAATGTTTAAAGGCAGACTGATGAGTTTCTATTCATACTTTAGAGCAGGATATGCCCTATTTTGTCCAATCTAAAACCAACAATGGTTGAGATATTATTTTTGTCCAACTTCCTTAGCTTGTTCTTTACATGGATTTCTGAGCTTCACTAAGAAAAATGTATATAATCTGTAAACGGAAATGAAAACTTGGAGGAGCATTTTTTTTATACCTTAAATCAGTGAGTAGCTTGTGGTTTGAATGGGTTTGGAATTCCATTGCTTGGAATGACTGTTTCGAAAGCCTCTACAAGCAGTGATACTTTTCTTTTGCGAGCTGGAGTTAATCTGGAAACAGCCTGTTGAAGGGCATAATCAAGCATCCATTCCTCAGAATTCTTCCTCCCATCCATGTTCTGATGCTTGAGATGAACTTTCTCTGCTTCCAGGTCAGGCTCCAAGGGCAGATATCGTGGCCCTTGTGGGTTGAACTTCTTTACATTTTCCAATGCCTTGATAAATCTATTAAGCAGGATCATTTTCTTCAGATTGCTCCAGTTCTTTGACATTTTCTTGTTAGGTTTCTCTTCCACCTTTGCAACTGCTTTTTCTTCTTCTTGGATGGTAGCATTATCAGATTTTGCAGAGCTGGCAGAGTTTGTGAAAGTTGAGATGAAAGATTTCCCTTGTATGTCAACTTGATTTTCTGGAGGTTCGGGGTCTAGAAAGCCTCTAGTGATTGACTTATCATCATCTGATTCATCTTGGTTCTCTGGAAGAATGATGTCATCAATCGCTTTCTCTACTTGCTGCTTGATAGCTTCAATATGCCGGAGTTCAATCTTTTTGTTGTCTATTCCAGGCAATCTGTTGGCATCATCTGCTTGCTCCTCTTCTGCTCTATCAAGGAATTCGTCTCCATCTTTTGCATCAATACTTGATACCATGTGCTTATATACTAAGAACCATAAGTTTGTGTATTTCTGCTTTTCCAATTGGGTTTCATGTGGTGCACTAGTATCGCATTCCAAATGTGATTCTTCAAGTGGAGGAAATCCTTCAACGAGTCCAGATTCTGGCATAGCTCCTCCCCTCACTTCTTCTCTTGCTGCCATTGGCTCCTCATTTGGTTTTATGGAACCTAAAGAGACCACCATGTTATTTGCTGTTGAATCCACATGATTTTCAGTGATCTGTTCCTCAGATGAATCAAATTTCTCATCTGTTTCAATGAATGACTTACTGGTTTCCAATTTGATGTTTTCCACCTTGGAATTCAAGTTGCTAAGTTCCAAACTTGTGATTGAAGTAACTTCTTCGGAGGCTTCTTCAACTGTATCATTTACCAGACCTTCATAAATGGTGCTACCATGTTCATCTTGCTTTAAGGAGGCTTCATCACATGACCTGGGATCTTTGGTTTCTGATAAAGAAACATTGGTAAAATCTATTATATCGTTCCCAACAATGGCTTTGTCATCCCCATCATCAGTGTTGAGAAAAACAATTTGATTCTCCTTCTGATCTTCATTAGTGGCTTTAGGAGCAGCTATATCCCGTTCCGTTTTAATGAAACAATGGTCTGTACTTGGTTCTTTGAGCTTAGAAAAATTCACTGGACTTTGCTGGTGTTCCACTTGAACATCCCTAGCCTGAGCTGAATACTCATTGAAACTTTTCTCAGGGCCGGACATATTCCCACCCAAGATTTCAGCAGAAATTCCAGAATCACTCTCTTTACCTGTGTGATCAGCACTTGGAACTGAAAAACCATTGCAGACTTGAAGATCTGCTTCAGTGGATTCTATTGCACTGGACCTGTGGCTAGTTTTAATTCCCGGAAATGGGAGAACTGTTTCAAAGGCTTCTACAAGCAATGCAACTCTTCTTTGTTGAGCTGGAGGTAGTTTAGATATAACCTGTTGAAGTGCATAATCAAGCATCCATTCCTCAGCATTCTTTCTCTCTTCTGTTTTCTGCTGCCTTAGATTGACTTTTTCTGCTTCTGAATCAGGATCCAATGGCAGGTATTGTGGTTTCTGGTAATTGAGGTTCCTCACCTTTTCAACCGCCTTGACAAATCTCTTGAGGAGAATGAATTTTTTCAGACTGCTCCAGCTCTTGGGTGTTTTCTTGTCTGTCTTATCTCCTTTTGACACTGTTTTCTCTTCTTTCAGGGAACTAGTAGTTTCAGCTTTGGCCCATGTTTCTTCTGGATTTTGTACCTTACTGTCTTCAGAAGAATGACTGGAATGTGAGGTGCTCTGCTCCCCACACCCATCTTGACTCTGTCCTGATGCTTCCTGGTCTGAACTTATGCCATTAGTAAAGGATTGATCATCATATGCGCGGTCCTGAACTTCCGGGAGAAGGATGTTATCAAAAGCATCCTGTACCAGCTTAATGGCATCATGGTGGCAGAGCTCAATGTTTTGGTCTCCTCCACTGTGATTTATCAAAGCTGTATGCTCATCTGTTTCAGTAAAACTTAAATTGTTGGTTTCAAATACGGTGTTGGTACCTTCTACTTGCTCTTCCTTGTCCAGTCCTCCAAGAGAGTGCTGGTTTTCAACACTTGCAGAAGGTCCTTTTACTGCATGCTTGTACATCAACTGCCACATTCGGATATATTTGTGATCTTTTGACTGCAAACTGTGTGCCACTGCCACATTAGTGGCCCTTTTGGGATTAGATGCTGGCTGCACACTTCCATTTTTGTTCTCATTAGCGGCAATTTTTTCCTCCAATGCTTGGCAATCAGAAGAAGAGATTTCATTGTGTTGATTATCACTTGTTGATTCAACAACTTCATCAGGGATTGCTCTTTCCAATTGATGAGGTGGTTTGACAGCTTCACAATCATCGAACGCCATACTTTTTTCTATTGATTTAGGATCAATATTGCTCAGGCTATTTGTGCAAGTGGATTGAGCACCTTCATTGTGATTAGATGCTGCAATCTTTTCTTCTTTCCTGTCTGTGTTGGTGGCTTCAAAATCTGTTCCAGTGCAACAACATTCCGGACTTAAACCATCAGGTGCAGAGAGGGACACCGAAGCATGCTGTTCTACAGTGTGCAGGCTCTCCTCTAAATCTATATGAGGAATTGAAGTTTCACCAAGCAGCTTTTCAGAAATATTTGAAAAATCATCATTGTTTTCCCCATTTTCACTGTAAGTACCTATGCGACTTGGCTTGGCTTCTGGTTCAGGCTCAGCATAGATTTCTAAAGACATTTCCCTGCTCAATTTTTCTACCACAGGAGATGTCGTTTCATGAACTGCACCATGTCCATTGCATACCATCTGATTTGTCTGATCCTCCTTAATCTTGCCAGACCTTTTCACCCTGACCGGGGGTTGAGTTGCCGGTGTCACGCCCCTCTGAGTCTTCAACATGCGCCTCCTTATTGAAATGAGGCGCTTGAGTGGAGGTACACTGGCATGCCGATGGCCATGAAGAGAGCAATAAGTGAATGGACAAACCTTTGTGCCCGAAAGTCCCTCAGATTCAGTTCCCTCTGCCTGAAGACCCAGGATGTCAGGGGACTTAGAACCTTTGAGTGCTGAAGAACATGTAGCTCTTTGTACACTCAAGTCTGGAAGTTGAGAGATTTGTTCAGAGTGTTTCCTTATGGAACACTTCTTGGATTTCGCTCTAGCCAATTTTGTTGAGGCATTCGAAGGTGACTTCTGACCAGCAGAAGTTGAGTTTGGCTTTGAAAAAACTGATCTTTTCCTAGTTTCAATACTACTGCAATAACTTGATTCAGAAGCATGAGGACTTGCCTGAAACTGTTTCTTTCTCCCATTGGAGCTGCAGGTCTCCTTTGAAAAGGTTGACGATGCTGAATCTGTATCACTGGATGAGATGGCAGAAAGCCCAACATGCCCAGATTTCTTTTGTCTTGCAGATGGTCTTGAGCTCTCAGAATTTGCAGGGTTAGCCGCCATTCTTGATTTCTTCAGATTATTCATTTGTGTTCCTCCAGAGCTTTTCCTCATCAAAGGGTTCTTGAATTTTAAGCTAGAAATTCTTGTCAAATTCCTTACAGGCTTAAAACTAGACCGCCTTGTTATTGTTCTTGCTGAATTCTACATAGAAACCAAAAAAGGAAAAAAGGGCAATCTTCAATTTCCTGCTATTTTCAGCAAAACACAAAAACAGAAAGCTAGGCTGAAAATTCAATATACTTGCCTGTAGATTCTCTGTACTTGTATCAGAACAGGTTGACATATCAGATGAAATTGACTGTGCTGCTGAGCTTGCTGCATCACTGCATACATGGTGATTATTGGATCTCTGCCTGGCCCTTCTTCTAGATGACTTCAGGCTTGGTGATTTTGAGAGCTTGATTGATCTCAAATTTTTCAATCTCTTCTGCAGCTCTTGTGCTCCTTGGCTTCTGCCATTCTGGTTTTGCAAAATGGATGAGTCAATGGCCATTGAAAACTTCTCAGAAATTTGGCTATCACCCAAATCATCTACAACTTCAAGCTCCTTATCAATCATTTTTTCTTCTTCTGTTTCACTGGATTCAAATTTCTGATATGAATTTGGCTTAAGGTGTTTTGGAAGCAGAGATTGGTTTTTTTTTCTTTCTGAAATTTCTAATTGACTACAGTGACTGGTCTTTTGCTTCTAGTTTCTAACTTAATCTTAAATTTCAAGTACGTTCTCAAAACAAATAAATAAAATTCTGGTTTGAGTAGCAGCGAATTTTTGAAGATCAGACTTAGATTCCAGTCCGATTGACTTGGCCATTCTGAGTTGACACATAGCTTTCTTTATGGTGGTAAAGAAAGGTCATACACAACTAAAAGTCTTTGGTCAGAAAGACCAAAACTTCAACTAAAAAAAATACTGGTCAAAGAAGAAACTTATGGCATGTTTACTAATCCGGAATTGAATTAGGGGGAATTGAATTGAGGATGAATTGAATTGAGGAGGAGTTGAATTGAGGAGAATTAGATTCTGGATTCCTAATGAAATTGTTTACTAAACCATATGGATTGAGGGGAGTTAGATTCCGAATTCCTATTGAAGTTGTTTACTAAATCATGTGGAATTGGGGTAGGAGTGGTACTAATTACTAAAATGTCCACATTTTTTGGTTAAAGTAGATGGCATATTTGGAATTTTGAAAATTGTGTGAGGATATAATGGGTAAAAAAGATGAATTCCTAATGGGTGAATTCTCCAGAAATTAGAATACCACCTCCAATTTCGGAATTGAATTCCTCCAAAATCAGGAATTCAATTCCTAATTTTGTGTGGGCCCCGCTTACTTTTCAATTCCTTAATGTGAAGTAAACGCAGGAATTCTCCATAGGCGGAATTCAATTCCGGATGAGAATTCCAATTCCGGATTAGTAAACATGCTATTAATTGAAAATGGGAAACAAATTATAAGGAAAGTAAGCACTTAATTGTGATTTCATGTAAACATGTAATGATGTTGGAAAACTCTTATAAAACAAATAAAAAGATTGTGAGCCCTTTCTAGTTCTAGTGACAGAGCACTTTAGCAAGAGTTTCAATCTTGCACTCTCTTTGTACTAATTAAAAAAAAAACAAATTAATAAATAGATTAATATTTACCTGAAAGATATGACAGAAATAATATTCACAGTAATATGATTACTCTAGCGATAGATTTGTAACTCAAGTGGTGAAAAGAATTCACTCTTATATTTGCACTTGGAGATCACAATTGACTCGATTCTCCTTTTTCAATATCGCTTATATTAAAATACCAAAGTGGAGAAACGATCGATAAAAGTGCTGGAGAAAGTGATGGATACGGTGGAAACAGTAACATGCAAGCATGACTACTTAGACCTAAAAGCATAATTTTGTCTCCATAGCTGGGGCCCACTTAGTTGGAAGCCAGTGCTTGAGGACTAGATGCAACTCCCATGATGACAAAGATGGTTAGAGTGGACAAAGATCTGTACTAATTAAACTTTAAACTTTAAACCCACCAAAAAAAGGTCATATATCTGCGGCATTTATATATGTTCGCTAATTTATCTCAAGTAACTAAGGACTAACAAAATGGTTATATTGAATTTTGATTGCATCTCCAAATTCAGATTATATGCAATGTTTAGAAGATTAGAGCAGATCTCTATGTTAATTGCATAGTTAGAAACCTCCCTCTGTATCCACGTATTTTTAAACTTTTCTCCTTGTTTTTTCTAAATTTGAATAGGGAGCTTCACTAATATACCCAAAATAGAGGCTGAAATTATATAAAAAAAACCTCACATAGAATGCTATTTAGAAATACACCCAAAATCCATTTACTATATAAGAAATTAGTGTTAAAGTTCCTATAAATTACAGGACTGCCACTAATGCCCAATAGAAAAAAAAAAACTCAAAAAATACCCAAAACAAGCCCAACCCAATTTTATAAAAAAACCCAAATATTTTATTACAACACAAAAATGTCTTGAAAACCGTAACTACAAGCATGCATCTTCATTAAACAAGAGTGTTGCTATTTCCACCCCCCAGTCCTATTTCCCCACCCACCTTATCTTCCCACCCACTATGTAAATTTGAAAAAACATAATTCTATTTTTACACCCACCATTATTCTTAAAATACCCTTTAATTATTAATTCAAGCAAATTCTCCTTACTTTCATTCAAAGCATGCTTCAAACCTTCAACCCCTGTCAATCAAAACGCTTCGGATCCTCTGTAAAGTATTATTAAAAAATTTTAAAAATAAAGAAAATCGCTCTCAATGTTCATCATCTCTCCACCGAACGAAAACAATAACGGAGAGAAATGTCATAATTAGAAAGAAGACGAAGAGCAAACTGAGCACATGGAACAGAAAGCCTGTGCCCTTGGGTTCAGAAACTGAGGAGAAATATGATGGAATTGGATTGGACCCAGCTGGAAATTTTGAAGCTTTATTGGAATTTTGATTTGGGTTTGGTCGGGATGAGGGAGAGAGGGAGGGGTTGGGGTTTGACAAGGATGAAGGAGAATATGTGTTTTTTTTAATCTAAAGTCCTTAAAAGTCATTTTACAAATGGATAAATTTGTTTTTAAATTTTGAAGATAAGGTGGGTGGGGAAATAGGACAGGTGGGTGGAAATAGCAGCACTCTTAAACAATCTCTGCAAAACGTCTGTTCATTTCATCATCTTCATCATTTATGCAAACCAAAACTCCATAACCACCACGAAGCTTGATCTACTTTCAAAAACCAACACCACACACTAACCTCCACCTACAAAACAAAGACAAAATTTCAAAGAACAATTTCAACAAGAAAAAGCTTCAAAAGTAAGACATTTAAAAACCAAACCTTTACTGTAATGTTGATTAATTGTTGTAAAGTTCCAGTGTAGGGTAATAACAGTATTTTAGATTCGACTCCAAGACAAAATCTTGAAACTATATTGGATTGACTGCATAGGACTATAAAATAGTCAGTTTTCAGAAACTCGAAACAGAAAGAGATATTTAGTCATACAAATTCTTAACACTGCTAGTTTATTGTCATGTTGATTAATGGCTGTAAAGTTCCAGTATATGGTAATAACACTGCTTGTTTCCTATGGAATCCTATTTCTAATGCATATCTACCACTGTAAAATTCCAGTATAGGGTAATAATAGTATTTAGATTCGAATCTAGGACAAAACCTTGAAACTATATTGGATTTTCATTATTGAACTGATTGCATAGGACTATAAAATAGTGGATTTTCAGCAACTCAAAAAAGAAAGAGATATTTAGTTATATACCCATTCTTAACACTACTAGTTTACTATCATATTGATTAATGATTGTAAAGTTCCAGTATAGGGTAATAACACTGCTTATTTCCTATGGAATCCTATTTCTAATGCATGTCGACTACTGTAAAGTTTCAGTCTAGGGTAATAACAGTCCTAGTTTACTATGAAATCCTATTTCTAATGCATATCTACCGCTGTAAAGTTCCAGTATAGGGTAATAATAGTATTTTAGTTCGAATCTAGGACAAAATCTTGAAACTATATTGGATTTTCATTATTTAACTGATTGCACTACCACTGTAAAGTTCCAGTATAGGGTATTAACACTGCTTGTTTGCTATGAAATCCTATTTCTAATGCACGTCTACCACTGTAAAGTTCCAGTATAGGGTATTAACACTGCTTGTTTGCTATGAAATCCTATTTCTAATGCACGTCTACCACTGTAAAGTTCCAGTATAGGGTATTAACACTGCTTGTTTGCTATGAAATCCTATTTCTAATGCACGTCTACCACTGTAAAGTTCCAGTATAGGGTATTAACACTGCTTGTTTGCTATGAAATCCTATTTCTAATGCACGTCTACCACTGTAAAGTTCCAGTATAGGGTATTAACACTGCTTGTTTCCTATGAAATCCTATTTCTAATGCATGTCTACCATTGTAAAGTTCTAGTATAGGGTAATAACACTGCTAGATTCCTCTGCTTGTTTCCAATGAAATCCTATTTCTAATGCATGTCTACCATTGTAAAGTTTTAGTATAGGGTAATAACACTGCTAGATTCTCTGCTTGTTTCCTATGCCTATAAAATCTGGTTTCTAATTCATGTCTACCACTGTAAAGTTCCAGTATAGGGTAATAACACTGCTTGTTTCCTATAAAATTCTATTTCTAATTCATGTATGTAAAGTTCCAATATAAGGTAATAACACTGCTACCTAACAACAAATTATAGTCATCTCAAAAACCAATAGTGCATAAACAGAAAAAACACGAATATAGTCAATTTCAATTGAAAAAACATAACTCAATTAATATGATAACCGAATCAAATATCACAAATTTGTAACCACAGCTCAAACCAAAACACAAGAGCAAATCCACAACCAAACTGAATATGAAATCAATCCAAATTATAAACAAAAAGAAACTAAAATCACAATTTAAAACTCAAATGAATATCTAAATACAAATTAGAACGAAATCAGAAAATCCAACAGCTTACCTCCAAATCGACAATAACAAAAATAAACATATAAAATTAAGAAGAATTGGATCTACAATTGCACAGGCCAATAGCTATAGTTAAATTTGCTTCCTCTCAAATTGTCATGCTTGAAGTTCTCATATTAACATTATTATAGATGCTACTAGCATTCCTACAACCCCGGATACCGAGCATACCATCAAAGTCAAACGGTAACCTATTGCTAAAAATTCCAACATGTTCAGACTAACAAGATGAGTAATTTTTGGTCTCAGACCTTGGCCAAAAGTGGCCAGAGCAACCAGAAACACTGCCAAAGCCGTTGGTCAAACTAGGGTGTATTGATTAATTTCCAAAACTCCAAAATCTATCCTAACCACATACATAAACAGCTAGAGCACGAAAGTAAATGAAGTTTCATACCTTGATCGACGGAAACAATCGCCGAAGTCGCCGAAAACGACGTCGGAAAACTCAAAATCTACATACCTTTCCGAGCTCGTAATGGAGTCGTGAGTGGTTGATGTGGCTGGGCTTTAGCCTAGACTTGATCGTCGGCCCTAGCTAGTCCTTTTCTGACCGGTCTCACCGCTGGCTGTGGCCGGAGCACCAAGATCGTCTGCCTGGTTTCTGCGAACGGACAGAGACGAGAGAGAGAGCGCCCAAAATTTTTCAAAAAAACTAATTTAATACTAAATGGGTAATAAAGGTATTTCATTTATCTAATTAAACTAAAAAATGTAACAACTGTCGGTTTTTGATATTTTTTGGGTGTGTTTATATATATTGAATGGTATAGGGTATATTTATAGTTT